TTGGGTCATTATAGACAAGAAGCTTGACAGGAAGCAAAATATTTAAGACCGCTTTAACAGGAAGGCCTGTAAGACGGCTATAGGCAAAAAATGGGGAATTAAACCACGTATAGTACGCTGGATGTGCACAGCTGTGATAAGGCCCATGCTATTCTACGGGGTTACCGTATTGTGGCCTGCACTAAACCATACTTTGTTGTCAACAGCCAAGGGGGAACGAGTGCCGAGGATGACTGCCATGCTCGTCAATGGAGCACTGCCCACTACACCCACAAAATCTCTGTAAATAATGTTAAATCTTTCTTCTGTGGATCTCTACGGCAAATTTCGGGCCGCTTTCAATGCAGCGAGATTAAATACAATCCAGCCGTGAAGATACCTCTGATTCGGATACAAAAAAGTACTTGTAACTCTACCGGATAACCTACGACAGTTAAATTATACGACTCCTCTAGTCTGCTTAATCGGCTATATATACAAAAGAGCGGGTAGCGAGATTTATTCTGACGAACTCGCGCTAGACCTCAGTTTTCGCTTAGAGGATCATTGTAGCGCTTTTGAAGCAGAGCTAAACGTCATATTGGAGGCGGCTCGGTGGCTCATAACCTCCGCCCCTCCAGGGCGGCATATCTCTATTTATTCTGACAGACAGGCGGCTTTGTCTACGTTTTATGCTAATCACTGATTTATGGTGTATACCGTTAGCACCCCGACTACTAGCTGGTTAGTGGCTTTTGCGATGTATGACTGAAGCATAATGCCGAATTTCCACTAGACATTGAAATGACAAAAAATTTATATCATTTAAAAAAATGCCATGTGGAAATGAACTTAATGATTATTTTTGAATGTAATGACACGATTATTTTTTAATGCCCGACTTTGTCATTCGTAATTTTTGCCATTTAATGCCTAGTGGAAATCCAGCATAATTCTTTTAGTACTGCGAGCGGACAATACAAAATGGAATTAGCTGTTAGCTTCAATACATTATGAGGCTTTTTTTTCGGAAATCGCCATGGAAGCGATGCACGTATATCATGTTTACCAATTGTAAGTTTTGCTGGGCCGCTATCCACTAGATATTCACATGCCTATTGGTATTTTAGTTATCCTATCACATAATACAAAAGAAAATTCTCATTTTTGTTTTTCCTAACTTAAACAGCAACTACTTAAGCTCAACATTAACGCATATTATGAGGCCTTTAGTTGTGTTACTTTGTAAAAAGCATATCAAAATATGGCAGCGATAATATCGCCGTATATGCACAGCAAATATAATTTTACAGATCTCAGTAATTTTCAACTCAAAAATCGGTCAATCAGTGTTAAACAGCCGACAGTCACCCGGCAGACAACAAATTACAGCAGCTGCTACCTTGGTACCTTGATATCAGATATACCATTTGATATGTGTGCAAGTGAGCGCGTTTGAAATTTAGCTGCATTTTCAATAATTGCTAGCAATCTGTGTACGAGTTAGTAAGAACACCGCGCTGTAGTAGTATGCGTTTAGCAGCAGCTCTCGCAGTCGAGTGTGTCACACGGCAAGCGTTTAGACATCCCTCAGCCAGCCGGTTAGGCAGTCCGACAGTCAGGTGCAGCGGCATTGAAAAAATGCAGCTCTATGGTTGGCTTAGAGCGACAGCTTAGCCTAGCTAAAGCGCACTCAAACACCATCCTCCTTAACCTCGCTGCGCTACTTACCTACGCTCATCGTGGAGCGGATAAGCAGTTTTCGCAGCAGTTAGCCATGTTCACCGCCTCACAGCGAGCAGTTATTTCCTTTTAAAGTACGGACTTTTGACTAGAAAAAGTCGTAATTATATGATTACTTCAATAACAATTTTCAACACAGAGTGAAACTTTTGCGCCGCCGCCGTCGTTTATGTAGCGCTCGCCTGCGATACAGCTGAGTGGTGCGTGCCACATGTGGCATACGGTGCGCGTAGTTGTGGCAGCTGCTGTTTGCATCGCTATTGCATTACAGCAGCACACAAATAATCGTAGCAACCTAGCTAGAGTGCTGGTAGTTAGCCGCCAGTGCTGAGTATTCGCTTCGCTTTAGACTGGCTAACTTGTTGGCTGATTGTTTGGTGCTGCTCGCCTTCCTGTCAGCCTGCTTGGCTTGACTGGCTGTAGGGTTACACAGTGGGCAAGCAGCAAACCACTACTGGGCTAGTACTCGTAGCAACCTTGCCACTCTCGTATTGCTCGTTTTTTTGTTTTTTTACCACACTCTTACTACTTTTTCCTCTTCATCATCTTTTGTTTCCAATCGCAGCTGCGTATCGCATGTCGCGCATCATCACACCCATTTTGCTTAGAAGTCCCTGGCGTATGTGTATTAAGCTCGCTGCTTAACTGCTATTGTATTGGCTGTGATTTTATGGTTGATAGCAGCGAGCTCACCTTTTTGTAGCAGCCTTTAATTGAATTAAAAATGTGTAGCTACCACTGCTGGTAAATAGCGCAGCGTTAGTGGTGTTGGCGTTCGTTGTTACACTCGTCGGCTATCTCAGCTATTACAACTACAAGTACGTGTTTTCTTTTGTTTTATTGTTGTGTAGTAACAAAAGACGGTGGTGTAGTCCGCAACTTCACAGTTGTTGCCACAACCAACGGCTTTGCTCCATCCTGAACGCTGCAGAAGCAAAAGACTGCTGTGCCTCAGTCTAATTGAATCTTTTACTCTCTCCCGTTTACTATGCTGCCTTCTCCAGTATATGTAAGTTTTTATTTTTATTTTTTATTTTTCCTGTTGTATTCTGGTATGTCTTCTACACGTGTTGCAAGCTTGTTGGGGCCACTGGAGGTTGTTTGCCGCTGTTTTGTTGCTTGTTGTTCAAAGCACTTGTAAAGTAATGTTATCTGAGCTGATTGTGTTGTTGTTGTTGTTGTTGTTGTAGCGATAAAATGCGTTAGTCGAACAAGCAATATATGGTTATGATTACAATTAATTATTTTATTGAATTGTCATTATAGTCTGGGACCCCCCCCCCCCCCCCCCCACACTTCGTATATGCCCACCTATGCATTAGAGCGACCCAGATAAAAAAAACGGTTATCCAACTTCACGATTCCCACCAAAATATGTCGGCTAAATTCAGCGTCATTCCTTAAATGAGTGAAAATGTTTTTATTGGGAAACGAAAAAATATGAATTACCAAGTCGGGGATGCTCTATGTTTCGTTCGTATTACCGACTTCCTATTTTTGCCGAAAGTGGATTCCCTGTATATTGGAAGTTGTTTGAGAAGATAGCAAAATACAATTTAAAAAAATTTAATGCATTTTTCTTACGATTTCTAATACAAGTTTCTTGAAATTGTTAATTTGTCAGTCGTTTCGTCTCCGTTCGAGGAATCAAAATCTTTTCTCAATATTAACTTTTCCGAAAAACTAATTCATTGTCACCACAAAGATCTAAGAATTTTTTTTTTACGAAAAAGTCTTGAAGTGAAATTGGGTTTAATTTTTAATCATATAAATGGTGGGAGAAAATACCTTTTCTTAAAACTAAATTTAAGAGTTGACTGTCACGAATGGCACCGAACTTAAGCAAAGTATTTTGAATAGAACAATGAAATCAACTAACTCAAAAACTACCGTAGAATTTTAAAGCGAAAAAGAGTAAGAAAAAACCAAAAAAACAGACAGGAAAAGTGACGCAACTACCGGTTCAAGTCCCAAAAAATTTAATGAAAATGTTTAAAAAATATTTAAAAACCCCAAATAAAACACCGACGAAGTTCAATACTAAAAAAAAAATTGCGAAAAATCTTAAAATAACAATTTTGATAACATCTCAGAAAAATACATCTCGGAAAACAGCTAAAAATTCTAAGGTCTCAAAAAATATGAAAACCTCAAAAATTTTCGTCAAATACCTAACAATTCCTAAAGTTCCCAAAAATATGAAAGTTTGTGAAAAATTCCAAAAAAAAATTTCAATAAAAAAAGGAGCTAAAAATATATCTACAAAAAGATGGAGAGGGGGCATAAAAAATCTTCAAAATATCGGAAATTTTGGAAAGTAAAAAAAATATACCTACTGAATATTGCAGAAATTTTAGGAAAAACAACAGAAAAGTTTCGTATAAAATACAAATGTAAAAAGTTTCCAAAACCGAAAGTAGGAACCAAAATATGTGCACTCAAAATTGTAGGGATTTTTGAAAAATCTTGAAAATGTTTATCGGTACAATAATGTACGAATGTGTCCAGAACCTGAGTCAGTTGGGCACACGGTCCTTGTAAGTCTGACTGCAGCCTGTCATCACTGATGCTAAAGGCTTATAATTTCCCAAGGTACCGAAAGCTACGAATAACTTCGTTTTCGAAGTGAAAACTTCTTAAGCGCCATTGGTGAATGCACAAATACTAAGGAGAAGGCAATAAAAGGGCAACAATTTTTGTAGAAAAGAAAACGCCATTAGCTTAACTGGTATAAACTGATTCGAAGGCTAATTAGTTCTGCTGATATGAGCTAATGGTACGTACGGCTGACTACAGCAGTAGAACCGCATAAGTACCAGCAATTTCCACTGCATATAAATAGTAATATTTTATACGTGTAATATTCGTACCTAAATATGTATAGCACTTACCACCTACATATTCCCATAAGTGAATTTTTTG